CCTGCTATTTCCTTCTTGTAAAGACCCTTGTGATTACACTGGGCCCACTAGATAATCTTGGATAATCACTTCATCTCAAAATTCATAACTTAATCCCACCTACAAATGTTATTTGCCATAGATGGTAACTTATTAATACGTTTCAGAGTCTAGGACATGGACATCTTTGGGGGGGTTACTGTTCTACCTACCATAGGAAGGGGTTAAATATCAAACAGCAATGAATGCAAGATAAAAAATAACCAGTGGGTATAACATGGTGCAAGGGGCACAGACTTAGCCAAGGGAGGCCGGAACTCTGGAGTCGGACAGACGCTGCCCCTCATTGGCTATGAGAAGCAAGCTTACTAAATCACCCACCCTTGGCCTAGATTCATCACCTGTCCACCTATACTTGTGCAGCCTTTTGTGAGCTTTCAGAGTAAAAGCATCCACACAAATGCCTAGAGCACTTGGCACTTGGTAAGCACTCCACATATGTCCACAATAACCACAGACCCAAAGGATTCCAGCGGGGAGAAACCAGGAGGCAGCAACAGCATGGTGAGGCTTTAGGGGGAAGGGCACAAGTGCACGGTAAGCTCCATGGAGGCAGGGACCTGTCTGCTGGTGCTCATCATGGGAGTCCTGAACCCTGGAAGAGTACCTGAGACTGAAAAGCTTACAACAGTGAGTGGATCCATGGATGGAGAGACAGATGCATGGATGAATGGATGGATGGATGGAGCAGGGATTGGGAAATTATGTGGCATAGTGGAAAGAGCACTGGTTCCTGGTCAGAAGGCACAGCTCAAGTTCCTGTCCTTCCAAGTCCCGGAATAACTGAACTCAGTACAATTTAAAGGCAGCCAACATTAGCAAAAGTACCTGGGCTAGAAGCAGCTAACCAGGCTCACCAGGTGACCTTTAACACATCATTTGACCCAAGGGCTCCTGAAGTAGAACCTATCAGAGAAGGTGAAGCCCATTACTTCCACTTCCAAAATCAGAGTGAAAGGGAAGAAAAGGAAACTTAAGAGATTTCCAAACATCCGGGAGCTATTTTTGGAAATGAATGACTTTTCCATTCACTTAAAAAAAAAAAAAGGAAAGGAAAAAAAAGAAAGATACTAGACCAAGAATAGATCAAGAAGTGCTTGTTGATCATCTAAATGGAAGGACATTCTTGCAGGAGTCCACTCCTTATGTCCTTAAAATCAAGACCTCCCCCATGTTCCTACAAACACTACCTATAAATGAAAAATGGAGAAATCATGACTTGTTTATCAGAAAGTTTATATAATCCTAAAATAGACTCTCCGGGGTAAATATAGCAAACGTTCTATTCATTAATACTAAATAAGCGTTCCAAGAAGGTAGCAATCAATGATGTCACCTGGCTCTGTTCTGTGGGGCTCCAACCTGGCAAATTCCCAAACCATGGATTGTTTTCTCCATAAAGCAATAGCCTGTCCAAAGGACTTTTAATATACCACAAAATTTCTCCATGTGGCACAGGTCAAATCCATCTCGTGAACAAATGGGTCCCTAAAAGCTTTTCTTATGATATCATCTGGGCCTTCCACCCTCATCATGATCATTTACACTCTGTTTGAATCTCAAATGTGATGTGGTCCACCATTCTTCAGCTGCTCAAGGTTGGCATTTCCAGTAAGGTGCAATAAAAATTGAGCTAGACCCAACAGAACATGAAGTTTCACCCACTGAGTCCATCTATAGGACAACCCCTCAGGACGCACCCATATGTATTTATAACCGTCCAAGGCACTGGATTTTTGCAAAAGAGGCTAAAATGTTCTTCCCATATTTTCCACCTAAATGGTAAATACCTTTTCATAAAGTGGTCATTGAACTGAGTTAATATATGTAGAATACTACCTAAGACTCACCCACAGAAACTACCAGCCACAGAAATGGTGAGTTAACTCTATATGTTTTAAGAAAGTTTGGGGGAATGATTCCAAAAACTATGAAAATTATACTCCCAGTACTAATCTGCAGAGATAGTAAGCTGAAACCTAAGGTGGGTTGAGAATCAAAATAAAAGAATTGTTTGGAAAATACTGAGATGTTTACAGCCACATCTGTGAAGATGTTTCCTTCGGCTGGCAACCTCTCTGCTGTGACTTGAAAAAGAAAGCACAGCTACAGGAATTCAGCAGCACACCCTGAGCTAGTGATATCAAATGCTGTTAAACACAACAATAAACGGAGTGAATAGAAAACTCTAGAAGAGGCTGTTCACCACCTTTAGACTTCAGTTACTTTGCTTACAGAGTATATTTTATGCTATTACAGTTCGTGCTAAATTATATATGAACCGTTTTAAGTCAGCAACAATTTGCACCTAACCTACTCCATTGAAATGCCTCCAACATTTCCATTTCGTTTTCTTCAAAAACCTATTTATTTGCCTCTCTCCCGTCAGTTCTCTCTTTGGAAGCAGTTTGGGGAAAGTCCTCATTTCTTTTCTTTTTTTCATTTTTATTTTATTTTATTCTATTGTTCACAGTATTACAGATGTCCTCCAATCCCCCCCCCTTAACCCCCTCCTCCCAGTCCCTGCCCCACCCCAGGCCTTCACCACACTATTGTCTGTGTCCATTGGCTATGCATATATGTACGTAAGTTCTTTGGTTAATCTCTTCCCATCTCTCCCCCCCCCCTCTGAGATCTGTCAGTCTGTTCCATGCCTCTGGACCTGTTTTGTTCATCAGTTTATTAAGTTCATTAGATTCCACATATACGTGAGATCATGTGATGTTTGTCTTTCTCTGACTGGCTTATTTCACTCAGCATAATTGAACACCGTTTTCTGATCATATGAATCAAAGGCGACTCAAAGGGGGTTTTAACTGTCAGATGCATATGGAGAAAATGTGCTCCAACACAGTTTTTTCCATATAATAAAACAATTCCAACTTGAAAGGATAACCGGTCACCTATAAAAATCGGCAGGGTTCTGTTTTGAAAGAAGAAGAAGAATGACTATTACACCATTTACACCCTTCAGAGACTCCCCTTAAATGTTTGTGGCTTGCCGAACATTCCATACATATTTCGGGCAAGGTATTATGGGAGCTGAAGTGCAAGCTGTCCCCTGCTGAATTTTCACTCACTATAAAAACAATGTCTCATAAAAGTATACACATGTTTTTACTTTACCAAAAATGTAAAATATCCACTTTTGTTCACTCAAACGACACTTTGAGCATTAGAAACAAGACTTTTTAAAAATCTCTAACGTAAGTGATGTCTGCAAAGGGGGGGAATGTCATTGAGTAGCACAGATTTCTGGAAGGAGAGACACAGGAAATGTGGCCGAAATGCACTGAAAGGAGAATTCTACAAGCTGACTTCTGTAGGGTCTGCTCACCTATGTCCTGGGTCATATCATAAAAAGGGAAAATCGTATGTTTATACTTTTCATCATGAATCCCCACTCCAATGTAACCACAACTGTTTTATATTACCCTCATAAAATGAGCTTTAGCCTTTTCTAAGCAAAACGGTATTCTTAATTGGTTCATTTTCCAGTTGTTTGGGTTTTTAACACACACACAGAATAAAAGGGCACCACATTCCAAGCAGTTCTAGCAATTCCAGAACCATCCAAGGCTTGATCAAACAGCTGTGGCTCTGGCCTCTGGTTAAAATTATAATATGATCTCACCTGATTTTCAAAATAACTAAGCATCCTTTGAACCCATATAACTGTGCTAGGATTATCTAAGTTTCTGAGTCCAGAGTTTGCAATGTTCAGAGAGAATGTTAGGGAACCGAAATGCTTTTGCTTTGTTTTGTTTTTCCCTATCTGAGCCCAGAAAAATCTTCAAACAACAATTCAGCAGCTTCCCTCCTCCCGAGTTTATTTTCAAACACCAGTGCCATGCAGCGCTGCCTTTCCTGTGCAGGTAGGAGGAAGCAGGAGCAATGTCACCACACTTGGCCTTTTCAAGTCTAAAAATCACTGGGAAGCCTAGAGTATTTCCTTTCTGGCACTCAGGCCACGGCCAAAAGTTGCTCCAGACAGGACAAGATATCAGATAACCACTGGAAACACTCCGTTTCAACAGAATTCCCAATTCCAGGAAAAAATGCATCTCTCCCAAAGCAGCTGAACCATTGAAAAAGTTCAAGAAAAGCATCATTACATTAACTTACCTAAATGCAAGGATCCCTTTTTGACTCCATAGGATTTATTTACATGAATAATAAGACAACTTGGTGCCCTATTCATATCTTGCACAAAGAGGAAACCTAAAATTCAACTCTTGTTTTTCGTTTTTTCCCAAAGCATCTGGGTCTAATCATAATCCATTCTGGCCGCAGTACACAAGGCTGTTTCGATCAGAATTTTTAACTTGATGTTTAAGGCGCTAGAGAATAACTAACCAGGGTGTGTTAAAAAACCACAAAACCAGTAACAGTTGGGAAGAGGCTTTCCCAACTCCCCAAGAACTGGGAACCCCTGAAGTGTCCCGTCTGGCGTTCATCTTTGGATAGAAACTAGGCTGAACCCGCCAGACAAGGAGCCCACACCACCCAGCTGGGGCGCAAGTTTGTGCTCCAAGGTGACAGCTCATCTGGCCACCGCGGGGCCGGTGCCTGCGGGGCCAAAGCCGGGGGCGGTGGGCCGCAGAGGCCCGGCAGGGATGGGCGAGGCCGCGGCGGAAAAAGGAAAAGAGGGCCATCCGTCAGCCCCGGGAGAGGAAATTCCAGGCGCCCAGCTCCCAGGCTCCGGTCACCGGGTGACGTGAGGGAACCCAGTCCGTGTGTCCGCCGCGGTGGGGACCAGGAGGTGACCGGGGCTGCATGCTCCGGGGCTCGAGGCCGGGAGAGGAGGTGCCTAGATCCTCGGCCAAGGCCCCCGGGATGGGGGCGTGGGGACTCCCCGCTTGTCGCCCAGACCCGAGACCTCCCGGTGTCCTCGAGCCTCTTCCAGAGCCTAAGGAATGGGGCGCCCAGGTCCCGGCCCGGGGCCCCGCCGGCGCCCTTACCGGTCTCGGGGGTCGATCCACGACGTCTGGCGCGTGTTGTGGTCGATGTAAAAGACGCGGCCGTCGTAGTCGCGCGCCTCCTCCCAGCCGGCGGGCAGCGGCAGCTCCGAGCTCTCCCGGCCCCGCAGCGGCAGCGCGGAGGGCGCGGAAGTCGCGGGGACCACGGCGGGGGACGCGGGCTGCGGTGGCTCCCGCGGGGGCTGCGCGGACGTCGGCGGCTCCCGCGGGGCCTCGCGCGCCTGTCCCCGCCGCCGCCGGCGGCCGCCACTCAACCACGGCATGACGGCGCGGGCCCCGCCGCCCGGCCGCCCCGCGCGTGCCGCCTCCTCAGCCAGCACTAAGGCCCGGCGCCCGAGGCGCGGGGGCGGCCGCGGGGAACCGCCCGGCGCGCCCGGTGCATCCTCCGCCCGGCGCCCGCGCACCGGCGCCCGCCCGGCGCCCGCTGGTCCGGCGCGTCGCGGTGCGCGCAGCCGGCCCGCTCTGCCTGCGTCTCTGGAGTCGCTGCCGTGCGTGGAGTCACAATCCCGAAGCTGCCGCTGCCGCTGCTGCCGGCGACTCCTCAGTTCCCGCGGTGCGCCCGGCCATCTTCGTTCCTCGGCGCGGCGCGGCCCGGCCGGGAGGGGCGGGGCATTCGCGGGTCCCGCCCCCGCCCCGCCCTCGGCCCCTCCCCCTCCTGCTCCTTTCCCAGGCCCGCTGCGACTTCTTCCATCTCCGCCAGCTGCTCCGCCTCCAGTCTGCCCCGGGGCTCCTCCGCTCTCCACTCCTCAACCCTCAGCCCCCACCCGTCCGCCGCTTCTCCTCCTCCGCCGTGCCGGCTGCTCCTTCTCCCCCCGTCCACTGCTACTCCTCCCCCCAGTACCCCGCGCGCTCCTCCCTCTCCCCTCCCGCTCCACCACCTCCTCCGGCCTCGCCGGGAAACCGCACGGGGGCCAGGATGGGCGCCACCGCGTCCGTCCGCCCCCGGGCCACCGCGGAGAGGAAGGGGGGCCGGGAGGACGGCGCCCCACCCGGGATGCAGGCGCGGCCTGTCTGGGGCTGACTCCTTGGGGCCCAAACAATTCCCGGGGGAGAGGGTAGTCACCTCACTTCACCCACTCCCCGAGGCCTGGGGTCCTCCCCTCTGCCCTCTTGGGGTGCAGTGGAGCTGTGTCCTGGGTCTCCAGAATACCCACGATGGTCTCCCCAGAGGGGAGACCGAGGGACCTCGGTAGCTGGAGGAGGAACTGAGACTGGTCCTCTTGAGTGGGGCAGAGAGGACCACCTGGAAGTGGGGAGCTGGGCAGGTGGGCACTTGGTGTCCCTGCCGGGAGGGCCCCAGAAGGGCTTATCCAGAATCACCACTCTGGGCCCAGCCCCCTCACCTGCCCTGAGCATTTTCATCTTCCAATCTGGAGGACCCTATAGTCTAAGCACAGACCCAAGTAGGCCCCTGCTGGGGAGGAAGCCAGGTCAAGTCCTAAAACACGAAACCTCAGTGATAATTTATGTTCCACTCGCATCTCATAGCTGGGAAAACTGAAGTCCAAAGTTGAGGTTCTCTCTCGCTCCAAATCCCCCAGCTACTTAGTGCTCCAAATCCCTGGCCGCAAGACTTAAAGTAGGGAACTGCAGGAAAATATCAAGGAGGTTATAAAACATTGTTAACAGTGACACAAAACTATCTAGTAAAAACTAACAGGGATCCAAAGAGAGATACACAAGGGAAGAGACTAGAGGGAAACGGTCCAAAATTCTCACAGTCATTGCATTCTTTCAGAGGGATGATTTTTAAACAATTATTTACCTTCCAAATTGTTTGTAAAATGGTAATATTGCTTTTAGAAGGGGAAAGTTGTTTTTAAAAGAAGAATGTGGAGGCATGGAAACTGCTAATTGGGACCTATCCAAGGAAGGCCTTTCCTCCCCTCCTCCCACCACAACACAGAAACTCCCTCGCTGCGCAAGTATCTGCCCCCACCCGCATGTTCTGGGCCGGAAATTCCATCACTGGAGTCCTTTTAGTGAAACCTGGACGGTTAGGAAATGTCCAAGGGAAAGTGGGGAGAGTATCAGAAAAGCAAATACTTAGTGATTTTGTAGTTCCAGAGAATGCCCAGTGTCGAGTGCCCCTGCACTGACATCTTCCCTGCTGATTGGCATGATTTATGACCTAGAGGGCTGCCACTGCCTTCTTTCCCCCTCTCTTCCTGCCCCCCTGCAGACACCTTACCACCCGACATGGCCCGGCTGAAGCTGGATCCCGGCCCTCCCAGGCATCATGTCATCTCAGAATGTCACAAATCTGGGCGCTTTCCCTGGAAATGGCCCTGAATGGGGCTAGAGTGTATTGGAGTGCAGCCAGTCTCTGCAGAGGGAGGTGGAGAGAGAGAGAACACCCCCACACAGGCAACAACGCCCAGAAGGAAAGGCAAGACAAAAAGTGTCCATAAAGAGGAAGGGGTGGGGAAGGCTCCATCCATTAGGAGCTGAGGTCTTTCACTGAGGGTGACAGGTGTGATGCAGTCCTCCAGACTGGCAGCGAGGACGAGGACGCGCTGCAGACCTGCTATGTTCAGGCACTGTCCTGGTGTTGGGGTGCTGCAGGAAACAGGACAGAGCCTGTGTACTCCCCACTGCCCAAGTCCGAGACTAGACAAAGAAATAGGCACTTATGACTGTGACTTGTCTACAGATGAAGCCAAGGGGCCAACCTCAGCTTGGGGACTCAGGAGGCCTTGTGACACCGAAAGGAAGACATCTTGATGAGGAAACTGACGTTGAGCTCTTCAGATCCCCAAGTTTAGAGACCTTATTCCTTGGCACAAGGAGCTGTCATCAAACACTTGTCAATTTGCGTAGCTGATGCAGCGCCCCACCCAGATCTCCTAGTCTGGGGCTGCACCCTTTCAGAGGATTAGCTGTGGCTGACAGATGTCTGGGACAGCAGCCCACTCCCCAGGGACTCAGTCTGTACTCTGGCAGCCCAGCCCCCTTTCCTTGGTGGGACACACTCTAGTGCACCTCGAAATCCAGAACTGCCATGGGATACCATGGCTTTGCTAGCTCCTCCCTGCCCTGGTCTGCCTCTCATACCCCCATCAGCCAGCACCCCATGAGAACCTCCACCTCAGGCATGGCTTCGAGGAGGCCTGACCTAAGAGAGTGTGTTGTGCTGGCTCTCTCCCAAGCACTTAGCAAATATGAATTGTTGACCATCATAACGTCATCTGCAGGTATCCCTAATGGCATTTGCACACGAATAGAGGACTCAGGAGGGTGACATGGCCTGCCAGAGACAACAGATTTGAGGCCCTCACTGAAGAAGCATTCTCCACAGCCCCTGGACTGCTCTGATTCAGATAAATTAAGGAGGTCCATTGCATTTGTCTTTCTGAAATGAGCGAACTTGGAAGAGGCCAGAACTTGGGGTGACCAAGTCCTGTCTATTACACCATTAGTCCTTTTGACTTGCAATGTTTGTCCAGGCAGCTGCTGATTGTCCCTAGAGACCTGTGCAGGGGTCCAGCCAGTGTGGCTCAGTGGTTGAGCGTCGACCCATGCACCAAGAGGTTGCCGGTTCGATTCCAGATCAGGACACATGCCCAGGTTGTGGGCCCATCCCCAGTGGGGAACATGCAGGAGGCGGCCAATCGATGTTCTCTCTCATCAATGTTTCTATCGCTCTCTCCTTCTCACTTCTTCTCTCTCTAAAATCAATAACGAAGAAAAAGTAATTTTAAAAAAAAGAGAGACCTGTGCAGGGGTTGGGATGGAAGAGAAGTTGGTAGGGGGTTGAAGGGACTCTTAACTCCCCAGCTTTGCTATAAATTAGGAAGTCGTGTGTGTGTGTGTGTGTGTGTGTGTGTGTGTGTGTGTGTGTGTGTTGTTAGGGAGAATAAGGCCTGTCTTTCTTACAGTGAAGCGGGGCTTTCCATGTTGGACAAAAAACACATACGCACACAAAACACTGTAGGGGAAGGAATCTTTAGTCTTAGCTGAATGCACAATTATGCATTCTTTATTGCCTCCATATTCAAACCTCGGCCTTGCCAACAGCAAAAGTACAAACGTTGCAGCGACCTCTTCTCCCACCAAAACTTCTGATGGAAAAACAGCTCAGGAAAAATCCACTTAGGCTCTGGGTAATGGAGACGCAAATAGCAAATACTTGTCCTCCTTGCAGACCCTCTGGGAAATCCCCTTGCAGAATATTTTCTTTCAAATGCTTGTTAAGGAGTAAATCCAACACACTCCTTGCATGCCGGACAAGCAAACACAGAGTTTGAAGATTTTTACTCTCAATTAGATTAGGCCTTCTCTCCCCACCCCTCTTACCATAGGGTAACCTTTGTTTGAAAAAGGAAGGTACAAAATTGCATCTAGAGACATTCAGTGCTTGAGAGGCTGCTAGAAAAGGGAGCACCGTGGAGGCTGCAATCATCACATCTAAAATGAGAGAAATAAATACTGCCAAAGAAGTCTTGCTTACTTGTGTAAACAATCGAGTGTTCTAGGAAGTGACACATTGGGTAATTCTGTACAATGTGCTAAGAGGAAAACGGAAATGGGCCAGATTGGGTCTGAAGAAGAAATAGCTCATTGTTTGGCATTCTTCAAATGCTGGAATAATTACTCGGTTATGGGCGCTTCCCATATATTTAAATAATGCAAATCCACACACTTGGGAGGAGATTAGATGTAATTCTTGCTAATTCCTGTCTTGATGGTTTAGGGACTGCAAAGGAAGAGATAAATACCAAGGTCCCTAAATCCACACCTTCCCCAAGCTCAGGTATTGGAATGGGGAAGAGGCGAGGTTATTCCTTAGCCTTTATTGCATGCCTTTATCTCTTTAACTTTAGACACTTATTTGACTTGTAATCGGAAAAGCCTTTGTTTAGATCTTGTGTGTGGACAGGGAGACTGTGAGCGCTTTTCTCAAATGGGACTTCCTTGATTTGTGTAGATGCGTCCAGTCTTGAGATTAAGAGTTTTTCTCATTTCCTAATCATCCACTGCTAAGAGAGGCAGGGCATTCCGGCAGAGCCAGCCCTGTGGTTAAACCAGACAGTGTGGCCCTGGCCGGTTTGGCTCAGTGGTTAGAGCGTTGGCCTGTGGTCTGGAGAGACCCGGGTTCGG